TAGCTAAGGATGTGGAGCATTTTCTTAAGTGTCTTTCAGCATTTTTGATTTCCTCCATTGAGAATTCTTTCTTCAGTTCTGTACCCCATTTTTTAATAGGGTTATTTGGTGTTTTGTTGACTAGTTTCTTGAGTTCTTTGTATATTTTGGAGATCAGCCCTTTGTCGGATATAGGATTAGTGAAAATCTTTTCCCAGTCAGTGGGCTGCCGTTTGGTCTTGTCAACTGTGTCCTTTGCCTTACAGAAGCTTCTAAGTTTGAAGAGGTCCCATTTATTAATTGTTTCTTTCAGTGTCTGTGCCCCTGGAGTTATGTTCAAGAAGCGGTCTCCTATACCAATTTGTTCAAGGGTACCTCCTACTTTCTCTTCTAAGAGGTTCAATGTGGCTGGATTGATGTTGAGGTCTTTGATCCATTTGGACTTGAGTTTTGTGCATGGCGACAGACATGGGTCTATCTGCAGTCTTCTACACACCCTCATCAAATTGTGCCAGCACCATTTGTTGAAGATGCTGTCTTTGCCCCATTGTATAATTTTAGCTGTTTTGTCGAAAATCAGGTGTTCATAGGTGCGTGGATTAATATCAGGATTTTCAATTCGATTCCATTGGTCTACCTGTCTATTTTTATGCCAATACCAGGCTGTTTTCAGAACTATAGCTCTGTAGTAGAGCTTAAAGTCAGGAATGGTGATGCCTCCTGATGTTCTTTTATTGTATAGGGTTGTTTTGGCTATCCTGGGTCTTTTGTTTTTCCATATAAAGTTGATTATTATCCTTTCAAGGTCGGTGAAGAATTGTGGTGGGATTTTAATGGGGATTGCATTGAATCTGTAGATTGCTTTTGGTAAGATTGCCATTTTTACTATGTTTATCCTACCTATCCAAGAGCATGGGAGGTCTTTCCATTTTCTGGTATCTTCTTTAATTTCTTTCTTTAGAGTCACAAAGTTCTTATTATATAGATCTTTTACTTGTTTGGTAAGCGTTACACCAAGATACTTTATGTTGCTTGTGGCTATTGTAAAGGGTGATGTTTCTCTGATTTCTTTCTCTGCCTCTTTGTCGTCTGAAAAAAATAGGGCTACTGATTTTTTTGAGTTTATCTTGTATCCTGCTAGTTTGCTGAAGGTGTTTATCAGCTGTAGGAGTTCCCTGGTAGAGTTTATTGGGTCGCTTATGTAAACTATCATATCATCTGCAAATAGAGACAGTTTGACTTCTTCCTTTCCAATTTGGATGCCCTTGATCTCCTTTTGTTGTCTTATAGCATTAGCTAGAACTTCTAGTACGATATTGAAGAGATATGGAGAGAGAGGACAGCCTTGTCTTGTTCCTGATTTTAGAGGAATTGGCTTAAGTTTCTCTCCATTCAGTTTGATGTTGGCAGTTGGTTTGCTGTATATTGCTCTTATTATGTTTAGGTATGTTCCTGTTATCCCTGACCTCTCTAATACCTTTATCATGAAAGGGTGTTGAATTTTATCGAAGGCTTTTTCTGCATCTAGGGAGATAATCATATGGTTTTTCTTTTTCAGTTTGTTTATATGGTGGATCACGTTGATAGATTTTCGTATGTTAAACCATCCCTGCAATCCAGGTATGAAGCCTACTTGATCATGGTGGATGATTTCTCTGATGTATTTTTGAATTTGGTTTGCCATTATTTTATTGAGTATTTTTGCATCGATGTTCATCAGGGATATTGGTCTGTAGTTTTCTTTTTTAGTGTGTCTTTGTGAGGTTTGGGTACCAAAGTTATTGTGGCCTCATAAAAAGAGATTGGCAATAAACCTTCTGTTTCTATCTTGTGGAACAGTTTGAGGAGTAGTGGTATTAGTTCTTCCTTGAATGTCTGGTAGAATTCTGCACTGAATCCATCTGGCCCTGGACTTTTTTTCGTTGGAAGGCTTTCGATGACTGCTTCTATTTCATTTCGGGTTATAGGTCTATTTAAGTTGTTTGTCTGTTCTTGATTTAATTTTGGTAAGTGATAGTTATCCAGAAACTTGTCCATTTCCTTTGAATTTTCAATTTTTGTGGAATACAGATTTTCGAAGTATGACCTGAAAATTGTCTGGATTTCCTCTGTGTCTGTTCTTATGTTCCCCATTTCGTTTCTGATTTTGTTAATTTGCATGTTCTGTCTCTGCTTTTTCGTTAATTTGGACAAAGGTTTATCAATCTTGTTGATTTTCTCAAAAAACCAACTCTTTGTTGCATTGATTTTTTGTATTGTTTTCCTGGTTTCTATTTTGTTGATTTCAGCCCTCAAGTTGATTATTTCCTGGCGTCTGCTCCTGCGGGGTGAATTCGCTTCTCTCTGTTCTAAGGTTTTCAGTTGCGCTGTTAATTCATTTATGTGACTATCCTCTGTTTTCTTCATATGGGCACTTAGTGCAATGAACTTCCCTCGTAGCACTGCTTTCAAGGTGTCCCATAAGTTCGGGTATGTTGTATCCTCATTCTCGTTGAATATTAGAAAGTCTTTAATTTCTTTCTTTATTTCTTCTTTGATCCAGGAGTGGTGCAATTGCACATTGTTAAGTTTCCATGAGTTTGCAGGTTTTCTGCTATTTGTATTGTTGTTGAATTCCAATTTTAAAGCATGGTGGTCCGATAAGATACAGGGGACTATTTCTATTCTCTTGTATCTGTTGAGGTTTGTTATGTCTCCTAGTATGTGGTCGATTTTAGAGAAGGTTCCATGTGGAGCAGAGAAGAAGGTATATTCTTTTGTCTTTGGATGGAATGTTCTATAGATGTCTGTTAGCCCCAGTTGAGACATAACTTCTGTTAATTCTTTTGTTTCTTTGTTGAGTTTCTGATTTGTGGTTCTGTCTAGTGTTGAGAGTGGTGTATTGAAGTCTCCCACTATAAGTGTGTGAGGTTTTATATGAGCTTTGATTTTTAGTAGTGTTTCTTTTACGAATGTGGGTGGCTTTGTATTAGGGGCATAGATGTTCAGAATTGAGACTTTGTGTTGATGGATTTCTCCTGAGATGAATATGAAATGACCGTCTTCATCTCTTTTGACTAGTTTTGGTTTGAAGTCTAGCTTGTTAGATATTAGGATAGCTACGCCTGCTTGCTTCTTATTTCCATTTGATTGGAAAATCTTTTCCCAACCCTTTACCCTGAGGTAATGTCTATCTTTGGAGCTAAGATGTGTTTCTTGTATGCAGCAGAAGGATGGATTCTGTCTTCGTATCCATTCTGTTAATCTGTGTCTTTTTATAGGTGAGTTAAGACCATTAATGTTGAGGGTGAGTAAGGACCATTGATTGTTGATGGTTGTTTGATTTAGGTTTGTTGTTGGCAGTGGTATTGTGAATATATTTGTTCTGCTTCACCCTAGGTTTCTGGTGTAGTTGGATTATCTGTTGCCTACATTTTTGTGGGCGTAGTTACCTTCCTTGGGTTGGAATTTTCCTTCCAATGCTTTCTGTAGGGCTGGATTTGTAGATACATATTGGGAAAATCTGGTTTTGTCATTGAATATCTTGTTCTCTCCATCTATATTGACTGAGAGTTTTGCTGGATATAGTAGCCTAGGCTGGCATCCGTGTTCTCTTAATACTTTTAGAACATCTATCCAGGACCTTCTGGCCTTGAGGGTTTCCATGGAGAAGTCAGGTGTAATTTTGATAGGTCTGCCTTTATATGTTACCTGTCCTTTTTCCTTCGCTGCTCTTAATATTTTTTCTTTATTCTGTATGCTAGGTGTTTTGATTATTATATGTCGAGGGGTCTTTTTTCTTTGGTCCAGCCTATTTGGGGTTCGGTATGCTTCTTGTACTTTCATGGGCATGTCCTTCTTCAGATTTGGAAAGTTTTCCTCGATGATTTTGTTGAATATGTTTTCAGCACCTTTGAGCTGGGCTTCCTCACCTTCCTCTATGCCTATTATTCTTAGGTTTGGCCTTTTCATGGTGTCCCACATTTCCTGGATATTGTGTGTTAAGGATTTGTTGGATTTATGGTTTTCTTTGGTCGATGAATCTATTTCTTCTAGTTTATCTTCTGCGCCTGAGATTCTCTCTTCCATCTCTTGAATTCTATTGGTTATGCTTGTGTCCATGGTTTCCGATTTTTTGCCCAGCTTTTCAATTTCCAGCTTTCCTTCCATTTGTGTTGCCTTTATTTTCTCAATTTCGGTTTTCAAATCTTGAACCGTTTCCTTCACCTGGTTAATTGTTTTTTCTTGGCTTTCTGTACTTTCCTTAAGGAATTTGTTCATTTCTTCCATTTTTTTGTTTGTTTTTTTCATCCATTTCTTTAAGGGATTTTCTCATATCTTCTTTGAGGGCCTCTATCATTTTTATGATGGTGATTTTTAAGTCGTACCCTTCTGCTTCCTCTGCTTTGTTGTTGTGTTCCATTCTAGTTGGTGTAGATTCCCTAGATTCTGGTGGTGTCATGTTTGTCTTTCTGTTGTTAGGTGTTCTCTTGTATTGCCTTCTTCCCATAGTTTCTTCCTGTAGGTGTTGGTGGTGTCTCTTCCCTCTCTCTATGGTCCTTCCCAGATGGGCTTATGTGGATCAAAGATTCAATGTCTGTATCTCTGTGTGGTCCAAGCTCTCTAGGAGGCTTCTCTCTGGCCAATAGCCGGCAGAAGAGGACGAGGGCTGGACTGGAACTTGAGAAGGTTTTGCAGGGTAGTGGGATCTCACTGGAAACTGGCGCTCTCCAGCTGAGACCGGCAGGGGCCCGGATTTGTGGGTCAAGGATCTTGCCTGCAGGAACTCCAAGTGGACCTGCAGAGATAGGCGGATCTCTGGGAGGGGCCTGGGACTCCAGCAGAGGCCCAGTAAATCTCTTAACACGGAAAGTGTGGGCCATAAAGGGTGGAATGGCCTTGGGTATTCAATTTCCCAGGCAGAATAGGAATATAACTACAGGAAATCAAAAAAGTCATGTTGCTAGAGACAACAAATATTTTCTTCCATAGCTAATGAATACAGTGGTGGTTCAGGCTGCACAGCACATGCCTGGACATATTTAAGCTTGTATTTTGCACATTTCTAGAAGGATAGGGTTGCCAATCATCCTCTTCAGGTCAACCTTCTCTTTGCAGTAAGGACATGTCTGTTTTTTTTTTTTTTTTTTTTTTTTTTTTCCCGATAGCACGCCAGCCTCGGGTGCAGAATTCCTGAAAGCTGAAGCAAGCACCTTGTCAGGCAAGGTCAGTAGAGAGCAATGCCCTGATGGTGGTGACCTGGAAATGATCTTTCTGCCTAGGAAGAGAGAGCTGAGAACAGCAGTCTGCCGGTCGCCATCACTCACTCTAAGTATGCACATCCTCACTTTAGGGAGAGCCAACAACAGTTAAGATGGAATGGGGAAATGTGCGCATGCGTGCCTGTAGGCGCACGCGCGATGTGTGTGTGTGTGTGTGTGTGTTTGTGCATGTGTGTGAGCATGTGCTACATCAGCTTCATGACCCTCCTGAATTTACTTAACAATTTGGCCTTGTTTTTTTTCTTGCTGTACTTGACATAATAAGAATTAGATGAAGAACACTAGGACCTTTTTTGTGAGCCAATCATGTGGTTGTGGGAAATTGAACTCAGATTTGTGAAAGACCAGCTAGTGTTCTTAACCACTGGGCCATCTCTCCAGCCCCCAGGACTCTTTTGTATAATAGTTTCTTATGCAAATGCATCTTTGCACTTTCCTGTCTCTTACATTGTGCATTTCCCATGTATATACTCTGGCATTCCCAATCCTAGGTTCTATGCATTGTTTGTTATCTTGTATTAGTCCTACTAGCAGGCACTAGGTTTGTGTGTGTTCTTAATCTTATAGATCCTTCCTCCCCACCACTGTCCCCCTCCTGATTGGACCCAGGACCTCATGCATGCTAACACATTACCACTAAATTACAAATATTTCTAATAACTTCTCTAATGTTTTCCTCAATTTATAAAAATTACTGATAAAGGACCGATTATTTTAATATAATATAAACACAGTAAATGTCTCATCTTCTAGCATGTACAAATCCATTTATATACACCATCTCTAGGAAGTCTGCCCACTGTCCTCCATTGGGCATGAATCCTGTTTCTCTGACAGGATCAGGGATGGATTCCAAGACACCAGACCCTGCTGTGAAAACTCACAGCCTCTTAAGTTACAGGTGTCCACATGACCTCTCATCTTTTTCCCTGGTTGCCTTAAGCAGGAGTCTAGGAAATGTTTATCACATGAATATTTGAATGGCTCTTTCAAAACTAATTATTTTTGGAAATTAGTATTTCCATACTCTCCAGTATTTCAGATTTGAGAAAAAGATTAGCTGTAACTACTGATTGATTTACAGTCCTTGATCTCAATGTGGCTTGGGGGCCAAGAGCATATGGTTTTCTAGCCAGCCGGCTACCCATCCGTGTTGACAGCAATGATATAGAACTTCCCTCCCTAAGAAACTGAGGGCTGTGGAGGAGGGACCTTGTCAAGGCCATCGATCTAATTCCTCCTGACTAGCTCTCTATGCAGCTAAGAGTTTCCACTATTTTATGTTCTTGAAATCTGGGACATTTTTGCAATGTGCTTGGATTAACATAAATTGGTATATTATAAGAAGGATCATGAGCTCAAAACCCATACAGCCAGTCTTTTGTTTAAAAAGGCTGGCATAGAGCCACACCTTCCAGACAGGTACAGAGTTCTGGGGTCATGGAGCTAGTGCCAACCATTCCCATCTTCTATATTGTACTCTTTCATCTTCGAAGTTTCTATGCTGAAAGCTTGCAAACTTGCATAACTGCCTCAGTGAAACTCAGTCTCTCCTGGCTAATATGACTCATGTTTGCTCACTCCTCACTAATATGACTCATGCTAAACTGGGCCATTAATAATACTCCCTGCACAGCATATTTAAAGGTGACTACATTTTAGATTACATATGCACACATGTATAGCAATCCCTAAGGACTTTTAAAGATGGAGAGAGAAAATAGTTTTCATTTGAAAATGGTAGAGGGGGCTCTGTTCCAACATTTGAAAAGTAAATCATACTTAAAACTAGGGCCAGACTTGGAAAATTTCTACTAAGAATGATAGTTTCTTGGGAGGGGGTGTATCACACTAAGAAAAGAAAAGAAAAGACAACCCAACATTGTAGAATTCCATATGGGATATCTTTGTGTTTCTTTCCTTAAATTTTTAAGGCTTAAATGTTGAAGAAAGGCTCGTATTACATTTGAGATGCATCTGGACCCGTTTTTGACTCTTATAACTGAATCAGTGGAAAGTATCCAGATTAAACAGGACTGGATCATTGGCCATGCACATCGAAGGCATTAGGTATTATTGACTTGATTAGGTGGGCTGCGGTGGCAAAGGATAACTGGTTCAAGCATCTCACCACACCAGAGCTTAGGTCTGACCAGGCATAAGGAGACAGTCCTACAAAACCAGTGCTGTCATGTAAAGATGAGTGATGCTTTGCTATATACTTAGGAACAAATGAAAAAACAGACCAAACACAACTTTGGTATCTACTATCTCAGTCTTGGACAGCGGGGGCTGATTTGTTCTCGAGTCCTAAGCCAGAATTTTCTTGTTGGGGCCTATTCTCACAGGAACCTAGCTTATAGGTCCAGGCTCATCCAGTGTGGTTTGAATGCAAAACATCTCTTATGGGTTCATGTGTTTGGACACTTGTTCTCGAGGAGGTGGCACCAAACTGGAAGGGGTAAGTGAGGCCCACATGGCGAAAGCATGTTACTGGGGGTGGACCACTGAACGGTATAGTAAGCCATGATATGAACAACACCCACCACATGCTTCTGCCACCATGCCTACCTTGCCATAATGATCTGAAACCGTGAGCCAGCTTGGTGAAGGTAACCAATACAGACTCCTACCATTTCAGTTCCTTCAGCCAGCAGAGAGATGTTGGTGTAGGACCTCGCAGGTAGAAGTGCAGGGTAGCCAAAAACAAGATGCCAAATGCCAGTCCCTCCTTTCGTGGCCCTAAAACGTTGGGCTGCCTATGGTGTCACCATTTTTAAAGACCCCATCCTAGAAACATTACAAGAGGTTTGGTTTTCTCCTCCCCTACTCTGTTGCTACAAGTGGCTTCCTGAAACTATTTCCAGTGAAAAGTGGACTTTGTTTGTGTTGTTCTTCCAAGATTTAGACACCAGGCTCTATATCAGAGGTTCTCAACCTGTGGTTCTTGACTGCTTGGGGTTGAATGACCCCTTCACAAGGGTCACCTAAGACCATCAGAAAACACAGGTATTTACATTATGATCCACAGCAGTATAAAAACGAGTTAGGAATTAGCAACAAAGATAATTTTATGGTTGGAGTCACCACAACATGAGGAACTGTATTAAAGGGTGGCATCATTAGGAAGGTGGAGAACACTGCACTGTATGAGCAGTCTTGCATTCTCCCCTGTCCCTGATATACTCCACAGGGTTTTATGGTACTGGGATGAATCTAAGGCTTCCTGCACACTAAATGCCTACTCTGGCACCATGTGACACGCCAGTACTATACTTGGCTCTTTTTCTCACTCTCACCCCCGTTTTTTCTCTGCTCCTTACGGCTTCTACCAACTTCTCCAGGCTGCACCCTGCTCAAATGCAGCAACCTTTCTGCCCATGTGAGATGAAAAATCTTCTAAAAGGAAATTACTATAATGGAGGAGGCTTATTTTAATCAGCCATCGTTATTCAGCAAGGATCATAAGAAAGTCTCAAGAAAAGACAGGGCCAGAGGACGAAGGTCTGAGGCTTGACGGTGGGAGTTAAGCAAGGTAGAGGAGATGGGGTGAGAAGGGGAAGATGGGAAGCCAAAAGCTTCAGGAAAGCCAATATCAGGTTTTGTGGAAAGGATACATGTGACTACATGACAACTGGTAGGTGTTGACAAACAGGTGTTTACAATGAGCCCTTCTTTGTCAAGTGCCACAAAGATCTGCCCACAGACTGCACACACAGATATCGCTGGATAGACTCCTGGTGGGCATCCGGCTGACACTGTAGAACTACCAGGGGAAGGAAAGGATGCCATTGGAGAGAGTGCCTGCCATTGAGTGCCAGTGTAGATACTGTACCAGACAGTTCTTGGGACCTGGATTCTTCATTGCTTATGAGTAGAACTAGTATCTGAGATTCCTTTTCCTGTAGGGACAATGTTCAGAGATGCTAAACATCCCCAGTAGAGCCCATTAGTACAAACATACCCAGAGTGCATTGTGGTTATAGCCATCCATCAAACCTCTGCACGTAGTCTGCCTCTGACTGGCGGTTACTGTCCGTGATGGTGATTCTGCCACAGGGTAGCTGTTGAACTCATCCAGTCCCTGGACCCTTCCTCCCAGTGTTCTCTTGGAGACCACTGGATCAGAGACCTGGATCAAATCCAAGCGTTTATTTCCTTTTCAAGACCCCCATGTTATTATCTGTGCACTCAGCCTCATCAGACCCTGAAAGCAACACATTTAGAATTGAACTTGGGAAACTTTCATTTTCCAGAGCCACAGATGAGGCTTTGATCAATAGTGGTAATGCATCAGAATCCTCACAAAGTGAACATTTCCCTTTTGAACATAGCATTTATCTTATGATAGTTTTAGGTTAAAAGAAAATATTCAGAGATAGGGCAGAGAGTGCCTCACATGGCTTTGTCTGCTGTCATTAGATCTATTTGAAGGACCTTGACGACCCATAAATCTGTGGGGCTAAGCCAGAAACCTGCAGGGCAGACTGGCTAAGACTGGGGCAAGGGTGGAGGCCCCATCTGGAGGCAGGCTTCCTTCTCTGGCTGCTTCGGGTTTCCCTCTTCAGGCCTTTGCTGGAAGGTCAACTCACACTATGGAGGCACTTTTCACTTAGTCCCCCTCTGTCACACTAATGCATGTTCACCAGCAGACGACCTTCATGCTGTCTTACTCAGAATGGCACAGCTCTTTTTCTCTTTCATTCTTTTTCCCACTCTTCTCTGGACAGCTGCCAAGACTTACAACTTGCCTGCCTTGGGGGTTTCCTGTTAGACACTAATAAAATTGTCCTCAAGCTTAAAAAACAAAAACAATAAAGAAGACCTTCACAGCTACATTTAGACTAGTGTTTCAACAGGCAGCTGGGCTCCACAGCCCACAGAAAATCCAACTATTGCAACCTCCATGAGAGTGTGTGTCTATTACCAGTCTATTATTCCATGAGAATCTGTCTACTGTCATGAATTTGTTGATTTTATTCATTTTTATATCAATGCGAACTCTGAGCTATTTATTTTGTACTGCAGGTAATAACCTAATGTTGCTTTTGCGACTAGCAGTGTACGTTGCAGGCTATCTCCTTTGACCTTCCTGTCACTGTGGGTTTGGTTTTATTTTCAGTGCCTTCTTACCTTTGGGTGCTAGTAGGCACCAAGCTCATCCCGGGTATTTCTTATGCAGATCTATATTCAGCAATCTCTCTAAGAAGCCCTGAGTCCTTTTATTGTAGGATGACATGAGAAACCAGGATCTGGGCATTGGGGGTACCTTGCTTCCAGGCTCTCTTAGCTAAGAGAACAAGGAAATGTATCTGAACAAACTAACTTGTGCATATACACATGCCTATAAATATTGTTTATGTGTTTTTCTGCATCTTTACTAAACAATGGGAGTTTGTACTGATAGCTCCTATTCTAGCCCTTTGCTAATGTGGAGTATTCTCACCATTTTTTTTTTTTGGTTATCTGTAATCTTTCATTCTGGCAAAGAAAAATTCAGATTTTACTCTCAGCTATCTATTTTTTTTAATGGTTCCCATATAGAATGTGCACATAAAAAGGTCAGATTCATTAGTCCACAGCTCTGGGGATGATGACCAAATATCAGTGAGAGTACACTGCTATGGAATCTCTTTCTACTTTCAGGTCTAGAATCTCCACTCAGTTTAAAGTCAGCATAAGACCCCCACCCAACACACAGGCACACACTGCAGACACACACACACACACACACACACACACACACACACACACCATCCTCAGTAAAGTGATTTTACACATTTGCAATACAATTAGATTCCTTCTGTCACACTAATTTTTTATCCCGGGATTCTCTGACCTCCTAAATAGTTTCTTGAATTTTTCATGCATGAAGATATATTCCTTCTGTTACATGTTTCTGTGAATTTTTGAAAATGCAAGGTCATGTATCCATCAGTCTAGTATCAAACAACAATTCCATGATGATAAAGTCCCCCCATGCTCCATCCTGCCAACCCTCTCAGTTCCTAACCCCTTGGCAAGCACTGATCTGCTTAGCATCTCTATCGTGATGCCCTTTCCAAAACGCCAAATGAGTGGAATCAGATCATGTGTAGGCTTTTTGGACCAGCTCCTCTCACTCAGAAATATGCATTTAAGGCCCATCCATTTGTGGATGGTTTAAGAGCTTACTCCTTTTTCTTAGGAGGTTTTTATAAAACAAAGCAGATGCATTGGCTTCTCTCCCAGTGATTCTGACTTAATTGATCTGGTGTGGGGCTCAGATACTGGCATAGGAATAGAGGTTTGCTCCTCCCTCACCTCTACCTCAGTCACAAACATATGTACAAGTGTGAGCCTTTGTGTGTACACAAAAGCACTCATATGCATACACCAACTTGCTGGTGACTATAAAAATGTTTTTTAAAATAGATTTTGGAGCTGGAATGAAGATAATAGAGGACAATAACATATAGAACTGTGGGATGGGATCAGTTGACGAATCTAGAGAGTTGGTGCTTCGTGACTGGGCTGTCCCTTCGTTGAAGCTGTTCTTTCTGGCTCATGGTGGGGGACAGAATACACATAAGAGGCATCAATGATCATCTTAGAGACAGGATGTCTGGTATTTGTTGGAACTAGGAGTGAGAATGTGGCTTCCCCTATATACCTGGCTTATTATAAGAAGTGTGGTTTCCTGCAATTCTTCCATCTTACTCCTATAGTACATGCCATGTAGTCTGAGCAGATCTCAGCAAAGTATCGCCCCATTATCCTATACTAAAGGCCGTAGAACAAGGATCCAAGGCCAAACCCGCAGAATCTCTAGATTTGATTCTATGAAAAATATAAACACAAGTAAGAGTGTAGTGTTTGGGTCAGATGGGAAGGACTGGAGCTTGGGAACACTAATATTGCCATAATATTTAACAGAACTCTGTGGCTATACATTTTTTCAATAACTTTTTTGTTTTACATTTTTAAAAATTAAAGATTGTACATTTCTCTTTTTCAGATTGTAACACTCAGTGCCAACGGACAAAGGAATCCTTGATGCCCTTTGTCATTGGGTGACATGCCCCAAACCCACCATGGATGCATGGACTATTGGATAGTGCTGAGCCCGATGTATGATGTGTTTTTTTCTCATGCATCCATACACATGTATCTATTATGTAGTTTAATTTACAAATTAAGCACAGTATGAAGTTAAAATGACATTGACAGTGAAACAACACAGCGTAGTATGCATCTGTGCTTTGAGAATGAAGTTTATGAAAATTTGGGTTACTTAAAAACAAGTATTGTGAGTCAGTGATAGCTGATCTACTAGCTGAGTTGGCTACTAAGTATACATGGGTGGACAAATACTGGACAGAGAGTGATTCATGTTTCAGGGAAGATGGAGCAGACTGGTGAAGGATTTCATTAGGCTGCCGAGCTGAGAATGGCATGAAAGTCAGTGTTACTATTTACTGACAGACTTCTCCACTTAATGAATGAATCTTTGTAGATTATGAGTGACTGAAGCCACAGAAAGTGAAACTACAGATGAAGAGGGACAGCTCCAGTCATGAAAAGCTTCTTTGTAATGCAGTGCTTGGACAAGCCTGTTCTAACCAGTCAAGGTTTGGCTGCACATAGAAAAGCCTGGACAGCTTACAGAAACCATCTCCAGATGACACTGTATCCCAGTTACATCATAAGCCTGGGATGGGATCACAGGTCTTGGGACAAGAGCTATGTAGCAAAAAATTTTTGAAGGTCCGTTGACCCGGAGGGATTCTAAGGGCAGCTGACATTAGTAGCCACTAGGGGAATAGTTCCTAGACCTAAACGTAGATTAGAACCACCTGGGGGAGATTTCTGATTTTTTTGATGCCTTCCTTGAATGCTCCTGAGTCCATGTGTGCTGGAGTTGGGAAGGAAGCCCCATTGGGGCAGCTGTCAGGTCCATCAAAGGCTGAAGATCTCTGTCATAGACTTTGGGTTCTGTAGAATGTTTGCAAATATTCCAAGTTGCCTGAAAAGGTGTCTGGAACAGCTATCATCCCTTCTTTGAATGTGAAAGTGTGGAGACTAGGCAGACAACAGCTAATAGTCAAAATGAAGCTCAGTTCTTCAAGCCCTTTCCTTCAATGGTGTAGCTGTTCTTCAAGCCCTTTCCTTCAATGGTGTAGCTGCCACACAGCAACAAAAGCTTGTTTCTGCAGGGCGAGTTACATTTCAAATGTACTAGGGTTCTCTGTGACAGTTAAAGCAAACATCTTAAACAAACAAGCCATACAGTAAGCCCAAATCTTGATTCATCAATCTTAACCCTTGCATATTTGGCATGTTTTAATTGTAAAACATTCTCTGATGCCAGCAGTGACCTGCCAGCCTTCACTGATTCCGGGAAGGGAGTGAGGTGGAGATAATTGCTGTGTTATCGTTTTAATGTGCATTTATTTATTTGAGACAGTGGCTCATTCTGATGCCCAAGCTGACCTAGAACTCTTTTTTTTTCTTTTTTCCACTTTGTCTGGCTTAAAATCTGTTTTTGAGAATTTCAGACATGAACACTTTTTAAAAAATATAATTTCCACTCCACACTCTTTTTCTCTGTTTATTTTTCTTGTCTCCCCCACTCCCTTTCAAATTCATGATCTTTTCTACTTTAATTATTATTGTTACACACACACACACACACACACACACACACACACACACACACACACACACACAGAGTTCCAAGTCCTTTTAGTGTTGCTCATACCAATTTATGGTTGACTGACCACTTGGGTTTGGAAAACCTATCAGGGGTTGGTTCCTGGAGAGGACTGACCTGTCAGTAGCCTTGTGAGACTTCCATCCACACTGGCCTGCCAACTGGTATCATCATGCAGGTTATGTTTAGGGACATTGTTGAGATGTCATGGGTGCAGCTCCCTGTCATATATAGAAGACACCATCCCACAGCAGATCTCTGCTTCTTAGTCTCTGCTCCCTCTTCTAAGGTCTTCCTGAGCTTCAGTGTAGATGTTGTGTTGTAGATACCTGAATTGGGTTGGGCACCCTATACTCAGGTGTTCTCTGAATTTTGACCAGTTATAGGTTTCTGTGATAGTTTCCATCTGCTACAAAAAATACTGATGAGCAGGGAGAGCTACACTTACCAGGCAAGACTAGTATATGAGCTGAGTGACCAGAGTTAGGCCTGGCTTAGAACTCTCAATCTTCCTGCCTCAGGCTCCCAAGTACTGGGATTACAGGTGCTCATTACCATGCCCAGCTTTTCTGACCAACTTTATGGTCATTAATTTAAAGAGGGTCTAGTAAAGACTTTTCATGTCTAGAAAAAAAAAAGGTGTGTGTGTGTGTGTGTGTGTGTGTGATATGAACTAGAAATTCCAAAAAGATGGTCATTCATTATTTCAGAATTAATCCATGTATCAATAAAGATTAGGACAATGGGGGAAATAAACTATCTTCCTTTTACATGAAGAGCAGTATGTGTATATCATTTTACTGATTAAAAGTACAGCAATGAACCCATTGCTTCATATAGGAGCATCTTAGTAATATGTTCACTACCATTAGTAGTGAAAAGTTAGTCCCCTCTGAACTGAAGGGCTAAGGTCTTGGTAGTCCTTTTTATAGAAAATTTCATGGGTAAATGTCTGAAAATCCTAAGCAGAAACAGTTTTGGAACAACTATAGTCCCTAATGTTTCATGAAAACCTTTTCAAATATCTCTACACTCACAAAAAATGAAACATTATAGATGTGTGATTAAAAAGGAGAAGAAGAAGAAAAAAAAGAAGGAGAAGAAGAAGCAGTCCATTTCTATGTCTAAACTACCAGTATTGGGTTGGCTCAGCTGGCTCAGCTACTTTCTATTAGGAACTCTCTCTCTCTGCAAGTCCCATGAAATGGCTATAAACCTGGATTGCTTCACTGCCAAAGGAAGTGCCTATGGCAACATAGGGCTGATTGTTCATCCACTTATCTTCTTTGTTATATGATTCAACGGTTGCTCGTCTATGCTTTTTAATTTTTGTTATGGTCCCAGAAACTTGGGGTGACTTCACTATGAGGGATATTCTGAGGAGTTTTTATTTGAGCTACTTTCCATATCTGTGTGATTCTTTCTAAATCTCCATCCCACAGCACAGGCATGGTCTAAGGTCTTGTTAATTCTCAAGCTACCTTCTTACTGGAGAAGAAGTTCTGATCACAGAACATGATTACCTACCCCAGAGTAGTCTACTCTTCCGGTATCCTTTTATTTTTGTTTCAGTTTCTAAGTACCCACTCTCCTCCATGAACACACAGTCAGAGACTCTATACTGACATTTCTGTCAGTGATGAGCCTCATATAATGATGGTCCCATAATAGTTTATTATAGTGCAATCTTGTGAGAGCTGCACAATGATGGAACTCTCTAACACAATTCTCAGAACACATTGTTCTCATTAAGCAATTCAAGCCTGCAATTTAAAAATTTCTAGCAGCTACACCCTCTCTGGGGAGGAGAAAGAGGTTGAGATAGGGGGTCTGTGGTGGGCATGGGAGGAGGAGAGGGAAAGGGGACTGGGATTGACACATAAAACAAGACTGTTTGTAATATAAATAAAAAAATGTAAAAAAGAGTGGTCTACTAGGAAAGGGTAAAGGGATGAAGAAAGATGGATGAGAGAGGGTAGCAGGGACCCTAGATGTAATGAAGCATAGTGTCTGTATGTATGGGAACGCCACAGTGATTCTATTAATGTGTGTAATTAATTGGCAATTATAATTATAAAAAACCCCCAAAACCCCAAATGTAAACAGAAAAAGATGACATTTATACTACCAATATATTTAAAACACTTGCCTTTCAACACTTAATCAACACAAATCTTTGTTCTCTTCATCCTGCCTTTGAAATCCATTGTGCATTTTACATGTGTGGTGTGTCTTATTTCATATTTTAAGTGCTTAGTAGTCATATAAGCTAGTGAATTTGGCAGTGGCCAGTTCAGTTCTAAGGATTTTAAGAAACAAGATACTCAAAAGAGCTCCCTGACACTAAGCCTTCATGGCAATGGACAGGGAAGTTTAATCAGTTACTCTACACCACTGGAAACTCACTTTCTTTTTTATATATATTTATTATTTTTTTTCTTATTTTACATATCAATCCCAGTTCACTTTCCCTCTCTCCTTCCCATGCCCCCGACCATCCTCCCATCCCATCCCGCCCCCATTCCACAGGGAGGGTGATGCCTTTCAGGAGTGATCATCAAAATCTGTCAAGTTATTTGGAGTAGGGACTAGGCCCTCCCTCCTGCCTCTAGGCTAAGGGAGTATCCCTCCATGGGGAATGTGCTCCCAAAGTCCTTTTGTGCACCAGGGATACATCCTGGTTCCATATAGCAGCCCTTCTTAATGCTGGATTACCTTGTCCAGCCTTGATGCAGTGGGAGAAGCTCAGTCCCCCTTCAACTTGATGTGTTATGCTTTGTTCAAGCCCATGCAAGGCCTGCCCCTTTCTGGATGGATATGGAGAAGAGAGTAGATGGGAATGGGGGGGGGGGAGGAATGGGAGGAGAAACTGTGGTTGGAACGTAAAATAAATGAAAAATGTTAACAAAATAAAATTAAATTAAAAATAAAATAAATCTCTGTTTGACCTTGAAAACCTAGCTAAGGTGACAATATATTTGGTTGCTAAGATGACTAACTACTAACCTGTCTTTCTTTATTATCCTAAATATCTTTCAAGGACTAAAACTTTATATTGCATTTTTAAATGAGCTGTATAGGTATAATACCTTAAACAAGGGTAAACACACACACACACACACACACACACACACACACACACATACGTCTGTGTGTGTATACAAAATAACAAAAATAACCTTACCTTTGTATCAAAAGCCCATACTAATATATAATATTTGAATCTAGTAGTTGTTTAAAAGTAGATTCAACAATTCACCCTTTTATTTCATAATTTCTATACTATATCCCCCCATTTTTCCCTTCAGAAAGAGATCTCTGAATCTAATCTCCTTTGTTCATCCTTTTTTCCTGACTATGACAAGTAACAAATTATAACAATACCCCTAAACAGTGACAAACATCCATAGCCCACCAAATGACTAAAAACCAACCATCCTATTTCTTGGGAATGTGGGCATAATGCTCTCTTGACTGCTTCCTGTTGTTTGGTTGTCACAGCATATTTAGGGGACCCTAAATTGGGATAATGGTCAAGTCCTGGGAGAGCTAGCTGTATCATTTTTTGTTTAGTTTCCGTGTGATAGGAAACTATAGAGCTTATCTGAAGTCTTGGCTGGATAATTTGTGGGGCTGAACCATCTCAGCTAGTGGCTTTGAAGTTGTTCTGGATGCAGAATTTTGAGGAAACTGTAACAGAGGCATTCTGAGAGGCTGTATCATCTGTGCATTAACACAAGAATGGGATGTGTGCAGTGTGCACAAGTTAGTTAAAGATCTTTTTTTTTTATGTTTGAGCAGGTAAAAGGTATCTGTCAACTTTATAAGTCTGTTTGGATTATATAAACAAACCTCTATCCATGACATATTAAAAGATGGCGTGTAATAAGTCATGAGGATTCTGTAGCCAACAAATTTTATCATGTTCCATCCAGTCTCAGCTGTTCCCTCAATAGAGGTATCAGCATGTATGTCACCTGTCCTGTAGTCTTTCTTGGTTTCTTTTTTTCATGTCTGTAGTCAAGTGCTCAGCTGTACAGCAGGGCCTCTTAAAAGAGGCAGAGGTGTGGCTTTTAAAAATGTCTTTACTTCAGAATGGAAGTAAAAAAGTATATTACTTTGGGGGGGAGGCTATGCCTTTGTTTCCCAGGAAACAAAAAGTTATGGATCTCTTCAAAATTAATGAAGATCAGAATTCACTGGGGGAGATCTCCTGAAAATCTTAGCTTATTTTTGTTCCTAACTAGGTCTTTCTTCCTCCCTCCCTCCCTCCCTCCCTCCCTCCCTCCCTCCCTCCCTCCCTTCCTTCCTCCCTTCCTTCTGTCCTTCCTTTCTTTCTTTTTTTAAATTTCCATTGCATTTATTTGTTTTTTTTTTTTTTAAAAAAGATTTATTTATTTATTATATATACACCGTTTCTCCTGCATGCATCCCTGCAGGCCAGAAGAGGACACCCGATCTCATTACAGATGATTGTGAACCACCATGGGGTCCTGAGAATTAAACTCAGGACCTCTGGAAGAGCAGCCAGTGCTTTTAACCTCAGAGCCATCTGTCTGGTCGCACCCCGTCCCCCCCCCCCCCCGACAACTAGTTCTTACAACTTAAATTAACCCATTTCTATTAATCTATGTTCTGTCATATATTGCCCATCCTGCTTCTTCATGTCTCCTGGCATCTTTCTTGCACACCTATATTTCTCATCCTACTTCCTCTCTCAGCCCAGAAGCCCACAAGTCCTGCCTATACCTCCTGCCCAGTTAATAGCTGTTCTGCTTTTTATTATATCAATCAGAGCAAAACACCTTTACATAGTGTAGAAATATCCTACAGCAATGACCTCTGGAGTCTTTAATCTTTAAAATTGTTTATTTTATAGGATGCTCCTTTCTTGCTTTTCTCTTGGGTCTGCCAATGATAAAGCTATATGCAGGTACCTAGTATGAAAATCGTGTACATGGACCATGTCAGGGCCAAGTGTTTCCTAGTAACAGGACATGACCAGGTGAATGACCCAAGCAGACACTTAGAAATATCACTGTCTTAATTAAAGGTACTTTAATATGAGATTAAATCCATACATTATAAACATGATAGCCAAATAATCCACTACACCAAATGCATAGCTGATCTTACAGATTAGGAGAAACCATTTGTAGACCAATCTGTGGGAATAGAAATTAGAGGTAACACAAAGAATAAAATAAAGCACTCGTCTTTTCAAAAACCCTTTAAATAAAATCTTTTTATATTGATTTCTGGGTTGAGGATCTTTAAATGTCTTTATTCTTTTAAGATAGGGTCTTGGTGTGCAGCCGGGCTTGTTTCAAACTTGAGATCTTTCTGCATCAGCTTCTAGAGTGTGGGAATCTGTATGCTTGCCCCTCAACATTCTTTACCTCATTCCAAGACCCAGTTCTCCTCTGTGATTTCAAATAATCTGTTTATTGCAACTCTACCGCCTTCCCCAGTTTTTTACTGTTGGAAGCAATATATCACATACATAACTAAAATCCCTGCTATTAATAAATCAATCTTTCATTACTATTTTAAATGATGCTTTCTTTTTCATTTTGGAAAGAAAGTGCTGGTCAAGCATTGCCATGGCCATACCTTATTACTTTATTTTCACTGAGTTCTAATTAGTAAGGACTTTTTGAAACCTTGTGGTTTGAGCACTTGTGGTCCAGTCTAAGAATTGAGTTATTGTTTACATAATTTTATGATGGAAGTCTTTTCACATTAAAGAAACAGACACTTGAGAGCCACATGTCCTGGCACCTCCTACCCAGGTGCACTTATGCCCATGGAAGGGCAGGCAACTGTAGGGTCTATGGAACAGACAGTTGCAAGGATGCACAGACTGGCTGGCATTGTCATGAGACTATGGTGTAACTAAAGAAGGTCAGAGAAGGTGGCAGGCTCTTTCTGCTGAGAGATACTCGAGTAATCAGTTCTTCTGATCTGTCTGTACTGAGCAGTTCTCATTATTGCAAGAACAGCCAATCCAAAGTGGAGGTTTATGTTATAAAAGGGTCAATGCTGGGGACATGAACAAGGGCTAAGAGAATCCTTCTGACCCAGCCCCACATAGAACCAGAGAGTAGGTTCTTTGGACACCACACACATTCAAGGTCTCTCTTAGGCATGGGCCTACATAGGAGATGCTCCCAGGTAAGAGCATTTTGAACTGCTAAGTGGCTTGCAGATTCAAGGAAGCCACAGAATGGTGTTAGAGGCAGAGCCTTGCATACTCTTATCTTTGGATTGACTGTCGCTTGACACTGTGGACCTTGGTCAACTTCTTTGGCAGTTCTTCTTATGACTGCCTCATTTGTGAAGTGATGATGATGGAGCTGGCTCCTAACACTGGTCTGGAAAGTATATGATATAATGAATTCTGGTTTAAAAGAATGGACACATTAGGTCCCCAACACGTTGCATCAGTGTCACAGATGTATTAGATTATCCCTAGACTCATCTCCCTGGAACAGTGGAACCCAGAGCTTCCTGGCTGCTTGAACCTACTCCAAAAAAGGAACTGTGCTATTGCCCCAGGGCAGCATCCATGAAAATACTATCCTACTGTCATTCCTCAGCATGAAAATGTCCACTTAATAATTTTGAATTGTGCCATGTTAGAAAAACACATCCATCTCAGCATGGACATTTGTGTTCATCTTTAGTAAAGAGTAAAATTGTAGGTGCAGCGAATGATTGTTTTAAAATAAACTTTATAATTTATCAACAGTAAAAGTTTGATTCCCACACATATTTCATAAACCTGTATACCTGGGGGATATATAAGTGCTGGGCAAAAATGTTTAAGAAACTCTGCTTTAGAACAATGGAAACCTTGGCTCTTGGGCTGCACTTGGGATGTGTGGAGCCGTGTACAGGCAGAAGCTGAAAAGGATTGCTGTGGGTGTGAGATATAGATGATATGATGATGCCCTGGTCATCTGAGATATATGGGCCATGAAGAGTAGCAAAGAATATTTGGGTAATTTCTGTAGTGAAGGGTCTCTGCTATAGTGAGATGATTTGCTTAGGAGTTTATATTAAACAAGGTGACTTCATTCTGTAAGCTAAAAGGAAAATTTCCTCTTTTATCTTTTCCAGTATTTAACAGGAGAAAACCAAACACACAAATGGAGAAATGATCACGAAAATGTTTCCCTCGGCTCCATGATTATTTTCTTCAACAAGGTAAAAGTTTGCCATTTTCTCATGACTGCTGCACACTACATCTTGGTGAGGTACCTTGGTGAGGATTTGCACTCTATTCACAGATTGAGGGAGCAAGAGTGAGCTCCTGTGAAAGATCTGTGAGGACCCCATGGAACTGTGTATATCTCAAGAGGATGATAGCCAGCCTGCGGTACTTCAACCCCATTTGCTCTACCCCATAGCCTGATGTGTTCGATGTGGTCAGGCCTGACCATAAACTGTCAGTCCTTGCCCTGTTTTAATGAGTATGTGATACAACCATTGGGATAATAAAGCAAAATGCTGAGCTGAAAATGAACATGCAAACAGTGCTCTAGAGATTTAAAATAAAAGCAGTCTCACTTCCTTTATCCTCTGCCTCTGCCAATTGAAGTCTGCAGTTATGAACTATACAGAAGGCAGGTCTGAGCCACCATCACAGGGTATGTGAATTAACAGTGTGAAGGCAGGTCTCTAGATGGTTTTGCTGCAAAGGTAAAATAAAAGGACTAAAGAACAAGTGGAAACCGGTAGATACTTCAAGACATAAGGAAATTAAATATACTTTTTAATGTTTACAAGAAAGAGATGAAGCCAGGCATGGTTGTGTAAGTCTATGAAATATTCTCAAGATCATTTCCCCACTTAAACATTTAGTTTTATCACCTAAAAAATACTAGGAAAGATAAAATATTAATTCCAGCGTTGGGAGAGGCTAAGGCAGAAAGATTGTGAGTTCTAGGCATGTATCTAGCATATAGTGTGAATTCTTGTCTCAGAAGAATACAGGAACAACAAACAAAAGCCAAGAGCAACCAAATAAAAACTCCAACCCAAATTAAAAATGAATTAAGAGGGACCCTGAAGGAAGAGATTAGAATGCACCCGGAGGTGCTTGCCCTGAGAGTGGTTTACTTGTAGCTCTGAAGAGCCTGTAGCTAGAAGCAATGTAGAATATTGTCCATATAGACAGAAACCGCCACCAGCAGAGCTTCATGTGACATACAAAGAGACAACTCACCTCTGCAGCAAGGTCAGCAGCTATTAGAGAAACGTACAGAAAGTCTTCTTCAATGACAGGAACTCCAAATGGCACCTCGGTTTGCTGTGTGATGCTGACTATCGCTGAACGAGGCCTCAGCCCTGGGACTTCCATTCATCGTGAAATGATCCGGATTCTTTCTAGTTGAAAACACCCTTGTGGTCATGTCTATTTAGTAACACTGGCTCACCTATCAGCTGTGAGTTAATTCTACAGACAAGTCATGGAGAATTGGAACTTTTGAGATGGGTCCACGAGAGAATGCTGCAGAATACCCATGCCTTGTGCTTCCTTTCGCCTGACTACTTCAGACATTAGGCAAGCATCAACATAGTTGTAAAACTGGGACTAGTGATGTCTATGTAGCCTCTCTGTCCTGCAGGGTGACATAGAGTTCCAACACAACCTGGAGAAGAAGGCACTCTGGAAACCACACTGTTCCATGGAGCCCGGGGAATACTGTTAGCAGAATGTGTCCAGGGGAAAGGGCATAGTGCTGTCAAAGAAAGGAGCTGTGGTCAGTGACTCAGAGCAGCTTCCGTGACTTCTGCCTGGAGCCCTTGCGCTTTTGCAGCCCAGCTCTCACCTCTATAGGTTCTCTCGTTTTTCTTCTCTCTCTTCAGCTACTGGTGCCCTTTCCAGAAAGTATAACGTATGGACCTCACTCATTTATAGTCCTCTGTGTCTGTACCACTGACCAGAGTCCAAGTGGCCTCTAGAGGGTAAATTTAATCTGGCTGGACCCAACCCTACATGACAGAGAACAAGACAGATTACATTGACTGGTTGTAGGTCTCTGGTTGCTAGGGTTATTTTTAGCAACAGCTGTACTTTCAGAGCAACCCCGTCAGCTAACCACTTCTCTTATAAAAGGCAGACTTGGAAAAAGTAAGTTCTTCGGTCTTTTGCATTTACCTCATTAGCACCTCTTAGCTGCTCAGATTGTTACAAAGGATGGCCAATGAGGTTTCATCTCCAAGTGGGAACAACTACATTTTTGGATTGCCTTGTAAATCCCTGTTGAAGATTCTGGTTCTGGACCCTGACTTAACAGTGAAGACCCCTCAGCCTGTTCATTACACTTCTAGCTAGGTGGGAAGGCTAGTAGAATACATTACATATATATTATCCCGAGAACAAAAGAAGACCTGGTGGAAAATGACTGTCTGCATCTGTGGCTCCTTTAAATAAGATCTCATCGCGATGGTCTGAGGTTGATAAACAAAAAAGAAAAAAAAAAAAAAAAAAAAAAAAAAGGGCAGGACAAGACATCAAAGATGTGAGAGAAAAAGCAAATGATGAGGAATCTCTCTGGCTTTTGAGTCTCCTCCCCTCGCCCCCTCCACTCTAGTTTCAGAAACAGAATTGCTCCAAATCACTTTTCAGAAAATGCTAAGGATGTATTCCTTCATATGCACTAGGGGTAAAAAGTGCCTAGAGGACAAAAAATGTCTGGAGAGTTTTGTGAAAATATTCGGCTATCTATGATTCTCAGAGAATACTTCAGGAAAGAGAAATTATCCTTTATTCTTGCCCAATTAGTCAGATAACTGCACTTTCTACTTTATTTGTGGGTATGGTCATCGTGTGTGTGTGCACGTGTGTGTGTGCGTGCGTGCGTGTGTGTGTGCGCGCGTGCATGTATGTGCATATGTGTATGTGTGCATATGTAGGAGTGTGTGTGAGTGTGCATATGTGTGTGTATGTGTGTGGAGGAGGAGGAAACAAACCTTACTTTAGGAAATAGAACTGTTTTCATATGGGCCTGAGATCACTTGCTAGATAATCAAGATTCAACATAGACAGATATTAGCACTCACCTTTGGTGAGTAGAATTCTGACATTAACAATAAAAAATGATCAGCTTCTAGAAAAATTCATCTATATTTTTGGTCATTTTTTATGTATCATGAATTACATGTTTTCTGGCTTTTAAGGTTTATTACTTCTGATATTAAAGGAGATCAATATTATTCAAAATCTTATCATCTGTTCTTTTCAAAATATTTTTCATTCTTCTGAGAACATATTTGACTTTTACATTTGTCCTATAAAAACAAAATCCATAAAATAAAAACCTGAGTCTGTTCATTTAAAAAATTTAAACATTTATTAATTTACCCGCATGAGTATTTTGCCTGTATACATGTTTATACACCATGTAGATGCCTCGGAGGTCAGAAGTAGGCATTAGCTCTCCCAGACTGGAGTTACCGATGGTCGTGAGTCACCATGTGAGCACTGGGCACCTAACCTGGCTCCTCTGTGAGGTTGTTAAGTGGGTCCTATGGACTCATGTACTCACATGCACATACCCTCTTCCATTACACATAGTTAAAAGTCATAAAAATGAATTAAAAAAAAAATAAGGAACCACTTCCAGAAGACCCCAATTTTCTGTTTCCTTAATGCCTGGATTTAATCAGCAACAAACATCAACATTCCACGTACGGACACAATTCTTAAGAAGAGGCTTCAGAGATAAGAAATGAAAACAGAGCAAAGGTGTCATCATAATGTGCAAGTACGAAAATAGAGGTGTTTTACACCCAGCACCGTATCTTCTCAAGAGGAAGGCAAAAACTCACATTATGAATTGGATAATTGTATGAGGAGGTGTTTCAAAATGAGGATCATATTCCATAGCAATTTGAAAGATTCTTTATCAGTTTCCAGAGCAGTTAAAACTCTTCATTTTTAATAGTTACTGCCACATATGAAATGTTGGAATGCTGTGTCTCATAAATAAACACATGCACTAAGTGAGATCAAGGCATGCACATGCAAAGAAGGAACCCTGGCATGTGGGATGTATTAACAATGCCAGAGGGGTCACCATCTGGGCGTGTCAGGAGAGTGCACATCTGCATTCCTGGCTCCAGCATCTGGATCGCATCACCGTGCTCTCCCCACCCACACACATCACAGCATGAGGGATTTCCTGACCAATCAGATGTTGCCCAAAGGTACCATGTCTTTTTTTTTCTTTCTTTCTTTGTTGTTGTCATGCACATAAACGGATGGCAAAAGAATCACAGATTAAATCAAATCAAATTTGTATTTCATTTGTCTAACTGGACAAAATGATGAATGGGCCAAGAGTATTAAAGGAAAGGAGTTGTGTGATGCTTGTTTTCCTCGCATTGCAAGTCTCCATCTAGTTACAGCTATTTGTATGTGCGGGCAGCATAGATGCAAGGCAGGAGGATATGCAGATGAAAGGAGAGAAACGTTATGGAAATGAATGGCTGCAGGAAACACTGATGCTGTCAGTACCGAGGCACTTACAGAAAGTGTGGACATAAATCTAAGCAAGAAGAGTGTGTGGAACCCTGGCATATGATGGCCCTGAGAATGGCAGCTGCCCACAGTTCTGTTTCCCAGTCAATCCAGGTAGTTGATTTTGCCATTTAACTCTTGAAGGAGATCCTGAGATGGTACCCACATAACCATGTCTGTGTTTGCATCTTGTTTCATTTTCAAAAGATTTGAGCAAACACATGCATTATTAGCACGATAATCATTTCTAGTGCTTCATGCTTGTCGCTAGGCAGAAAGTTTGATTGAAATAGAACAAAATTGGTCTGCCGTGAATTAGTTACCTTTGTATTAAGGTAAGTTAATAGTGTCTCTGAACCCTGAATTCTGTATAGGTAGTTTTCAGGCCTATTCATTTGTGGAGTTATTGAAGGATTCTTTTTCAGGGGAGACATCTCCCTATTTTATGAACATATGAAAATAGCTTCACATTAAAACAGGTAGTGATAATAGCACTGAAATGTTTTATGTTTTAATTAAGAGCTGTTAAGAGCACTTGGAAGTGATTTAACCTTGAAGTTCTGCCAATGTCTAATCTATATCAAGATTATTACCTTGAGAAAAAAAGATGGACTGGAAAGAAAATTCCAACTTTCAAATGGTCCGTCTATGCCATGCTGTAAATGGGGATAGAACCCTCTACATATGGTAGTATGGCAAGCAAAGCAGGAGATTCCCACCCATCTCCACTTCTGATACCACATAGGTCCATTAATTATATTTTTAGATCCTATTTGACAAGCAGATCGTTTTCTTTGCCTTCCATATTTATAATAACTTGATCTGAATTCTATAAACCACAGAGCATAATCTGTTTGGACAAATTAAATGACAATTTCATAACTCTCTCTTTCTGTGTATGTGTGAGAGACAGGGGGAGAGAGAGGTGAACACACACAGAGAGAGAGAGAGAGAGAGAGAGAGATGTGTGTAAGGCAGGGCAGCTCAGGATATAGTCTCAGACTTGCTATATAGCAGACTCTGACCTTGAACTCCTAGACTTTTGGCCTCTAGTTCTGCAGTATTGGGATTAAAGGCATGAATCATTACACCTGGCTCAGAAAGTGTTCTGAGATTTGTGAATTCTCTGTCCACTTAAGTACATACCCTGAGTTATGCTTGAAGAAAAGAATTGTGAAAATAATGATACTACCAGAGTATAAACAGCACATATAAAGAGTAGTCTCTTCTGCATATGAAGTCATTCACCTACATTAGCTTGTACTTCAGTTATTTCCCCAGCCATTTCTTTCTCTCACATAGTATCTGTAAGCTTGATATAAGCCTCAAGAAACCCAGCTCCCACTAGAAACCTGTTTCCCTAACTGCACACTCCTACAGTACAGCACAGACTGCTAATCACTACCCATATGGGAAGTTAGAGTGCTGAGTTCACTTGCAGTCTCCAGTGCCCTCATCTTCAGACTCCACTAATTCCTGACATGACTTGCAAGTACACTTTTCTACCAACCTCCTTCAGTGTTGTTTCCCACATCTGCAATTTACTCAGATCCTTTCGTTAGGCTGCATTTTTCTCGGGATCCCCAATCTTATTTGACCTTGAAAAATTTCTATCTTGTAAGGTTCACTTTCTGCACCATCCAGTTTTATGGAATTTGACAAATGAGTGTTTTGTATTCATGAATACAGTATAACAGATAAATTTTACTGATCTTAAAAA